CATTCTGGTTTTGTGTCAGACTGTTAGGAATAAATGCAGCGGGAATCGAGTGCCATGCACCCGAACATTGCTGTCTCTCTTCATTTCCTCTAGGTGGCTCTCGCCCAACATACACAGCCAAGGGCAATGGTTATACAACATATCATGAAAGGGTTTTTCAAATGCTATTTATCAAGCTTCTTGAGGCAGTTCACAGAGAATGAGAGATTCGCCTTATTTGATACAGATACAAAATCTGAAATGAGCTGCTGGATTTTAAAAAGTTTCTTTATTGAGCAGTGAACGACAACACTATTCCCAGATCCTGAATTGATAATACAATGCGACCTTTTATGCCCTTATATTTGTTGATAGAACACTTTAATCTGCAAGCAGCCTGAAGTGAAGGATAAAAGACAAGCGAGTTATGTAACTAATAATAATATTCAGATTCCATGGAGTCTACATGAATCAGCATCAGTATCAAGAGAGTCTCGGATTTAAGTGCCTCATTACTGTGGAAGCTAGTGAAGGTTTAAGTCAGTCAACTTGCTTATAGCTCAAATATTGATGGTCTTAACCTTCTGAAAGGTGAAGAGAGAGTGCCTGTTATAATCCCAGTTATGGTATTGTACTGGGAAGTGCCACTGGAGGGATTTAAGAAAATCCCATTATTTCAGAATGCTCTGTCATTTTCCACTCTGTCCACATTTTTGAGAGCATTGTTTTTTAGCTTTAATTATGTAACTGGTGAATAATTATTTTAGCAATTATCAAATCCCTTGTGGTACTTTTAGAGGCCCAGAAGAACATGGCTTTGTCTCTTGTGTGTTCATTGTCTCTTCAAATGACCCCTACCCCTAGAATCTGTAAATCACACTGTTGGTTTTTGTTTGTTTGTTTCACCCCCCCTGTCTTTTGAAAATCATGGTTGTGGTTACATAACTGAGCCTATTATTTATCTAAACAGCATAAAAAGCAAGCTATCCATGCCTGCCAGACTCTGATCTTTCATGCCTAGTCTTTCTGACCATTCGTGTTTTCTGGGCAGCTGACTGCAGGGTGCGACAGACACACGGTGAAATATGGGTGCCATTTTGCCCTTGATGTTCGAGAAGATGCAGGCTGTCTGGAGGCTCACGTGGAGACATCTTTAAATGCGTCCTCCACTGGTTCCAAGTTATAGAAACCTGTCCAAAATCCCAGCTATTTGAAAGTCTGTTCTCACCAGTGTGTCTGTATGCCATGGTTATATGTCACTCACATCTAAGTCACATGTGACTGTAGCTCTCATTCAATGGGTGAGGTGGTTTTTATGGGTAGCTAGTCTGACTGCAGAAAAACAGTTTTTCAAGATACATTCTGCTGTAAACCTCTGTGTTTCTTTTAAGCCGTAGAAGGATTTGATTCTATTCATGCACATATTGTCGGCAGTTCAAAGCTTCTCCCAGGCGTCTTTGAAGCAGCATCCTCAGTTCACTCATTAACTGTTGACAGATGTAACAGTATGTGCTTTCCCAATCTACCAAGCCGGGCTCTTAGGCTAAAACCCCTCTACTGCCAGCCAACCACCTCTAGAGCTAGATGCTATCCCACCCATGTCTATATGCTTTTGTCTGTGAGTTTGTTTGTTTGTCAGTGTTGCTTTTCGAGCTTATCTGGGACACTGAGCATTGTGGGAAAGCACGCCAGAAATATCTCCACCTAAGCGTACGTCAGAAGCTGGAAAACAGCAAGTTGTAACAAGAGCCTGTTGAAGTCTGAAATCTGGAGAAGCTACAGTTTCTAAATAGTGGCTTGTATTTACGATTCTAAACATTCATGGATTCAAAAGCTTTATTGTTATTTGTTCAAGTATAAGTACAATGAAAAACTTGTCTGCATACCTCCCTGCAGACTAAAAAAAAAACATGTAACGTTCAAGGACAATAAATAGTGAATAACAGAATAGTGAGCACAGTAAGCAATTCTCTATTTTCTGTACCAGACTGTCCTATTCAGGGTCGTGGCGGTCTAGTGTCTACAGGTGCAAGGAAGGAAATATTCCAGGATGGGGCGCCAACCCATCGCAGAGCACACATACACACACACACACACACACACACACACACACACACACCATTCACTCACACATTCATACCTACAGACAATTTGGCAGCCTCAATTCACCTTAGCATGTTTTTACTTTGTTGGAGGAAACCAGTGAATCTGGAGGAGATGACGGCATGGGGAGAACATTAGGACAATAACATACATACAATATACATACACTATATACAGTATACATGCATTATACACATGATATACATGCATTATACACATGATATACATGCAAAATACAGTAACACAAGTATATCAACAAGGTGGTGAGGTTGTCAACATGAATAATTATGTGGGATTACAGTGCGAGTTATCAGTGTATATTTAACATTCTCTTTACTGTTGAGAAGAAACTGTTCCTGAGTCTTGAAGAATGGATTCTGATGGACCTGTAGCGTCTTCTGGAAAGTAGCAGGGAGAAAAGTGACTGTGCAGCATAGCTGGGGTCTGTCATTACGCATTTGGCTTTTCTGAGGCAGCTTGTGAAGTAAATGTCCTGACACTGCTGGCAGCTGTGTCTGGGTGATGGTCTGTTATCTGTATCAGCCTTTTGAGGTCCTGTACCACCCTAGTGGTGATCTGGGGGACTGCTGTGAATGTAGTATAAATCAATACAAGGCAGGAAATGTCTTCCAGGCCAGTGATTTACTGTCTGCCTTATCAGTTCCTTTCTGACACTCCTCCTTGGTTTAAAGGTGTCTTTCAGTGAGTCTCGCTCCTCATTTAAAGTTGTAGGTCTGCCTGTGTGAACTCTGAGCTCTAGCCTTTAAATTAGCCCAGCGCCACGCCCATTGTGACAAGTGGCCTTGATGGTTGTGAATAAAAACTGGCACGTCTCCACAGAGTCTGGGAGATCAGGAGGCACGTACTCACAAGATCGCATGGCATACGGACTCCGCCATCTCCATTTCACAGGCCCTAAACGCGATGCCGCTGCAACTTCCTCTCATCTGCTCTTTCTGCCGGTTAAGCAGTAAAACATAACACCCCGCTCAGCGAAAGTTGTTTATTTCAAGAAGTGATGATGAGTGTCCCTCACTACATTAGCCAAGTCTTTCTGTTTATGTGTGAGAAGGAGAATTTCAGGGTGGGGGGCTTAATCACCGCATGGTTTCGGAGACAAATTGGAAACGCGATTAGTGTGTTGAGCAAGTGCCGGAAGGTCGTAATGACTCTGTTTAGTGCCTCTATCTGTCTCCCTCTCTCATTTCTCCCTCCTTGTCTCCCTTCCTCCCTTCCCTCCCTCCTTTCTCTGCACCTTTCTCTTCTGTGTTACAAATGATGGACTGACCGTGTTGTTCCCCCAGCTCTTAATAAGCATCTACCTGCCTCTGAGCTGGCTGGTGAGTCAGCTTCTCTGAGTCAGCTTCTCTGAGTCAGCTTCCTTTAATCTCTCCCCACCCTCTACCAAACAGCGGGGTTTCCGACACCAACTATGACAGTGTCCACTGACTGCCACGGACTGTGACTCTTCCTGCGACATTGGCACAGCACTTACTCACGCAGCAGCGTGAACTGGCACCATGGCCTCTGAATGGTGGTGCCGGAGGACTATGTCAAAAGTCGATAATATCAGATCACTGGTGCGTCATACTAGTATGAATTACATTAGGTAATTTACATTAATATTTGAAGCATATGATATACAAAAAGTAATTATTTCACCTTGCCATGTTTTTTTTTTATTTTGTTGTTCCAAATTGTGTTGAACCTGATTATACAAACGGCACCTTGTTCCTGCTGATGCCTAATGACATAGGGGACTGGGAGATGGACCCCTTATTACTTTTGTTTGTAAATTGCTTTCAGGTTTATTATTTATTATCCACCATGGCTGTGAACGCAGATGCAGATATGAAGCTGAGGGGAGATATTTCTTATTTGGCATCCGATGAGATCTGTAAGAAATGATCTATGAGAGCAGCTGAATCGGGGAAACGGGGCTGGAGCAATGACTGCGGTGTAATCTCCCATCACGGTGTCTGACGGGAGCGCAGTCGCGGATGAATCACACTGCGGAAGCGGAGTGGAGAGCCGATATTGGGGGGGAGAGTGCCTTGACCTCACATGCACGCACGCACATCATTTCAGGGCTAGAGAGAGGACTCTGAGTTCTGGTGAAACAGTCTAACCTGACCCAGAAATGATTAACAATGGCCGAGTTTCCCGAGCCTGACCCAAAGGCTCGTCTCTCAGGGGAGCGGCAGCCAGAGAACCATACCCCCCCTCCACACACACTCAGACAAGGTATGTGACTTGAGTGTGACACATACATGCAGAGACGTTATAGGGTGAGATGCCTACCCCTATTCGCATGTACAGTGCTGTGCAAAAATCTTAAGCAGTAGTAGTAAGTATATATTTGCTCAGAAAAAAAACAGAATTTAACATTAGAATAATAACATATGCAAATTATTGGTAACACGATATAAACTAACAAGAATTTCTTCTGTCCTTCTAAAAGTTATTGACATCTTATTGCATAGCTGGTTCCCAAACCTCTCCCAGGACTGCCTAGTCATTCCATGTATTCCTTACATTTCACCACCAGCTCAGTTAAATAATTTAATTAGCTAACTGAATGGGATATAGTTTAGCCAAGCAAAGTGGGGTAGTGGTCAAGTTAAAAAAATACCTGGGTGTATTGGATGGTTATTGCAAATACTGGGCTGATTTTAGCAGAGGTTTTGAAATGGCTAAGCTGCCACACTTTGACAACGTAAATCATGGAACATTAAACCTCATTTTCTTTGACTGCCTAAGACCTTTGCACAGTACTATATGTGTGACATCTGTACCAGGTGTTCAGTGTTCTTGATTGGCTGGGAGTTGGGAGGGACAAACTGTGGGCTGTCAGGGGGTCCAGCTTGGAGGGGATTTGAGGCTCAAGTGACCAGCTTTGCTGTCTGTCTTGGCCACAGATCACAAGTCTGCAGGACTTCTTCAGCGATGACGACATTTTCATCGCCTGTGGTGCAGAGAAGTACCGCTACCAGGATGACCTGATGCTGGATGACAGCGGTGAGGGACTCCTCTGTTATCTCCTCCGCCTCCCCACTACTCTCCCCCTGTTTTCTTCATTCGCAGTCTGAATGAATGATTGCATTAATTCATTCTTTAAGGGGTATGAATGAATTCCCCTTTGTGTGCCTGCCAGGCTCAAGCTGTGCGTGGGCCGGCCCGTTCATCGCTCTTCATTCCCCCTCACTTCCGTCAGACGCGTGCAATCCACCTGTGCCGAGACCCAAGAGGCACCGCCAGTGCGTTAATCAAGCCCCCGCGGCGTGCCGGGCCACGCCCAAACCCCTGCCAGGTCCAGCATGGAGGTGGTTGGCCCCCGTGACACCTCTGATTGGTTCTGTTAAACGAGAAGCCATTAGATCAGCTTGGATCAAAGTGACATGATACAGTGATGTTTCTGATGTCTTGTCAGTGAGATGAAGTCACATGTGGTGTCTTCATGTATACATGTGACCGGAAATGTGTGGGGGGGACTGTGACAGCTCCATTAAAGAACCATTTTATTTTATCAGCCACAGGATGGCCCATTCAAAGCCTTCACCTGCACCTAGGGGATAATGGAGGGAATATGTACCTCAGCGGGTTAGTCCTCTGTGCTTGTGATTGGAAGGTCACCGGTTTGAGCCCCAGAAGGAAGAATAGTCGTATCCCTGTTGGACCATTAACTCCCCCCCCCCCCAGATAAATGGCTGCAAGCTTCTCCCAAGCTTCACTCTCAGCTGTGTGAATGTCTGTGTATAGAGAATAATATGGGATATGCAAGAAGAAGCATTCCAATGCACCTGAGCTGGTGCGAATGGTAACTGAGACGTAATGGGAGCTTCAGCAGGCCTGCATGCAGCTCATCTTCTCAGGTGGACCTGAGACACACAAGACAGCATTAAGAAACAAATCAAGTGCTGTTTCTGCTACCTGTGCACTTTTCTTAATTTGCCTTGCTCAAGGATGCCGTAAATTGGCTGACAAGCTCGAGGGTAGGTAGGAACCCGAAAAGCACAGCACCTTCCCCTGATTTGAGGCATACTCCCCTTCCTGCCTTAAGGACTCCATTCCCCCACATCGTCTGCACTCCCCTGTAACTCATAGCCACCCCCCAATACCATCACCACCGCTTGCAAAGTTTTGCCCTCGGCATTTACGTCACTGAGAGCTCTTGTTAGCCGATGAGCTGGGGGGGGCACTACCCACGGTCTCCGGCGGGCCCCGATGAGCTGGCCCAGTCTGTTTGATCTGTTCCGTGCTTTAGGACTTGCTCGTCAACAAAGCTTTTGCTACCTGAGTTTCCGTTTCATTTTCATGGCTCCATTATTCGTTTTCCGGTCTACGTGCAGCTTGCGGGTTATTTTGCAGTCGTGCTGCACGCATCACAAGTGTTATTGAAGGGGCTGGACCAGCTGTGGGGTGTGCTGACCCGGTTATCACAGCTGGTGCTTATTGGTCACATATGCGTTCATTTTCCCGCTGCCTTCTTATGGACATCTTCCTCCACAGCTGTCCATCAAAACAGAATGACCTGCCCCTTCAGCCGCACCGGCCACGTAAGCCACTTTGGATGAGACCTTCCGCCCGAAATG